AGACTGATCAGAGCTCACAGGCCCTTTGGCTCCTGAAGCCAGATGCAGCCCCCACTGCCACATGCACCTTGCTCACAGAGAAGCTTCAGGCATTTGTGACTAGGGAACACTATTCCCCTTCTCACACTCACTCCCCACATGCCTCAGAGAAAGAGGGGAAATTTTCTTACTGATGGACCATGACAGAGCCATCTTCCTGATCTTCCTAGCTCCTATCAGGGTACTGCACTGCCGCAAGCACTGGGAGAAGGCAGCTGCTTTTGTCCAGTAGTTGCAGGCCTGAAAAATAAGTGTTAACAAACCTGCAGCCAAAACTAGACACACACACACACACATATACAGAGAACAGATAATGAACATTTATACCCCTGCAAGTGGCTTAATATGCTAGACCTTCAGTCAGAAATCGCACTGCTGAGATGCCAACAGAATTGATTCAGCCCTTCCTAGTCAATTGGCTTCTTTGTGGCTTACTAGCTGTGAGCCTTTCGAAAAGGACTGCAACTGACTGCGCCATCTGCTTTCCAGGAATGGTCATCATCCCATCTCATTTTAGAGCAAGGACTTTAGAGCAAATGTCCCATTCCTTAATGCTTTACTCCAGACTGCTGCTGCAATCAGTTCCAGAATTTTGCAATAAGGTTGTGCGTGTAGTCTGTAAACATTTCAAAGCAGACAGACAATTTAGAGAGACTAAGCAGTCACCTCTGGTGCCCTGTCAATGTATCTCAGTGCCCAGAGACCCAACTGTGGTCCTCACAAGAGAGCAGAGTTGTCTCCCTTGGCTCTCCTTACCTGTTCCATGGTGGCCACAGACCCTAGGCGCAAGGCTTTCTGTCCCCTTGAGGCCAATCGCCAGCGGTGACAGGCTTTGGCCTGACAAGGTGCCTGCTGCTTGTGGCTTCCCTCTCCCAGCAACTGCTGTTTAGCTCTCAGGAATTCCAGCCTCCACTGGGCAAAGCTCACTGCTAGGAGACGGTGCTCTCTGGCACTCTCAAAACAAGAAAGGGCTTCACGCTGCCTCAACCTAAAGGCAGTGACATGGGACCAGGTGATTAGGCACCTGAAAACACACAAAGGAACAGCAGATGCTTGAAGTCACATTTCTGTATCAGCTCTGAACAGACTACGAAGTTCTACCTTCTACTCCCTACCTTGCAGTGTCACATCTAATTGGTGAGAGAAATTAAAAGAGCATTCAATTCAGCAAGAACAAAAACTGTTCCTGTTACTCCTTCCACAATCAATATTTATCTCTGTGTTGTTAATGGACAAAATACTGGAAAAGTAAGTCTAAACTCCTAGATTACAGTTGCTTTCCACTAAGAAATTCCTCTCGTTTTACTTCAGAACTTCAGAATCCCAACACTGCTGGCTCTTAATTCCTCAAAGCCTTGGAGTATGATTGCTTCAGTCTGGGCATTTTAGCATTTCTCCTCCTCAAGGGCCTCTGCAAACGCAATGTTATACTATGCTCTGCTTTGCCCATAAAACAAATGCTTTTCTCAGGATGTCCTGCCACTACAAACAGATGTCTCACAGAAAAGAAAGGAAAATCTGACACTAAAACAGTCAGTCTTCGATTTCTTTGGGCCATTAGCTGATCTGTAGGATGAAGTGAGGAGGGCTTTTCCTTATGGGACGAGAATAATTGCAAAAATCTCCAGAACCTAGCTGACATTTATATAACAAGGGCTTGCCTGCATAAGATATGTGACTAGAATAACACAAAAGCTCTGTGTAGAATAACACAAAAGCTCTGTGTAGACAATTTTATTCCAAATTTAATGACTACAAAAAGACTATTAACAGCACTGTAAATTCACACTCACAGCAACTTCTCTACATAGGCCAGCTCTTACAGGCTGATGCACAGGAGGTCAGGTTTACTCTAAAACCCCAGAAGCCAATCTGCTTTTAACTCCCAGCTTTTCCTTTTTGTTTCTTGTCCCAGCTGGACTTTCATTATGCAAATCACCCCACTGCACCAGCGGGCAGAAGTGTAAATATCCTCTGCCTGGCAGGCCTCTCTGAAGATCAAGGGGATCTATTGCAGGTTACCCTAGCATGAAAAATGCCCCCCTCAGAAGAGACAGGGCTGAGCCTGTACCACATCCAGGTGAGAAATTAGAAGTGCCCTCTCATCAAAGGAGCGCTCTCAAGCAAGATTAATGATGGAGACACACTCTACAGGAAGAAGCAAAATTAAGGACTTTTCTGAAACACCATTCCCATCAGGGTGCCATCACACAGACTGATTTAGAGAAGAAAGTGCAGCTGGGTGGAGTGAGTACACAACCTAAGCATCATGGCCACTGAAGTTTCACAGTGTTTCTAGTTGCTTTTTCCTCCGCAAATCTTTCTCTTCTCTTTGGCTGAAGCTGCAATTCAAAAGGAAATCTGCTAGGGCCAAACCTGCGCTTCTCAGATCTTAAAAGAATCCCTTGCATAAATCATTTTACTCAATCTTATCCTCCCCAGAGATCTCAAGGAGAATCTCCTAAATGCTCTTTCTGGTTCACTGTACATGGACACTTGACTGCTTTACAGACAAACAGCAGTCTCATACAGTAGAAAACAAACAAGATTTCAGTGAGAAAGGGAGTGAAGATCAGCTAAGAGATAAACAAGGGTGATAAACATTGGCAGCAGAAGTCTTGCTCTTCTGATGAAACTCCTGCACTATAGCATGAAACTCCAGAACATATTACTGCTTTACCTGTAGTGTAGGTAATACCGTGGTGTATTGAGTATCATGATTTACTCTTCACAGGCTTTACTGAATATTGTTTGTGGGGCTTTTTGTTTATTTGGGGTTTTTTGTTGTTGTTGTTTTTCCTCCAGAAGTATATTTAACTCAAAATTTCCCATTAGTTTAAATGAAAACCAGCAAACCTGTGCAGTAAAATACGCTTCCAGAATAAAGCAGCATTTCTCTGCTTCCTCATTTGGCAAGACCATGTCCACATGACCAACCTCTTCTTTTCCTGGCAGCTGTGCTGAGCCCATTGCTGCTGCAGCTCTCTCATGACCCGATTCCCTGGGACAAAATACAGATGAACAGTGCACAGAGCTATTACCACAAGCAGGACTTTCTCCTCTCCAGCAATTACTGTAACGTCCCTCTTTTATAGACTCAAGTGTTGTTATGGGATGGGGTAACTCACTTTGCCAGCTAGAATGCCAGTGCCACAAAGCGTCAGCAGCTCTCTGGTGGACATGACACCTGAATCTCCGGTCAACTTCAACTTTCTGGGACAGTCTCTTCTTCCACAGATTAAAAACCATTTGACAGCAGTGGATGTGATGATTTATGGATGCTGCTGCTTTTCGGTTCTTAGTCTCCACAACCCAGTGGTGCCAGCTGAGAAATGGCCTGAGGACAAGAATCATTGCAGTGACTGTAGGAACAACTTACACAGATTCACACCCTTGTAACTGAAGCCTTAATAAACATACACCCAGGAGACTTTGGGAAATATTTAGGAAGGGGAACAAGGCTATTTTGGTTGGTAGAGAGTTACCATGGATTATAATCAGTATTGCTGGGCTTGCCCTAGTTTGTGAGGCATCTCAACAAACCAGATAGATTGTGTTCATGTATAATTCTAAGGCAGCAACAGCCAAAATAATGAGCTGCAAAACTCCCAGCTGAAAATAGAAAAAAAGACAGCTAGAGGAAGACCTGGGAGAAAGCAAGTAAAGAGCTCCTAAAAGAGACAGCTTTAGGAAGACACTGGAAAGCAGACTGCCTACCGAGAGAGCTGAACAAGTCTGCAGTATTGCTGGGCCTTCACAAGCTGCTGAGTTTGAGATGACCAGATGAAGAAGTACCTCTGTAGGCAGCATTTCTCTGCTTGTTGCCAGTAACGCTTCACCTCCTTGTCCAAACTGCAGTCCTGTAATCCAGCAAAGCAGAAATGGCCCTGGCCTTCTTCTTGGACACAGTCAATCCACTCAGCTCAACCCTTTTTCCTTGCTGTTATGGCTTTCATAGCTGTGACACTCAGCTGTTGCTAACCCATATGTACCACATTTACATGTAGACATGCGGATATAACACATCCCCTTTAAATCCTCGACGCATGGTCAAATTCCCATTTAATTGGAATGTAGTAGAAAAGAGTTGCCTCGATAACTGCCTCGACCTCCCAAACCTCCTCTCTGAACCCACAGAAAGTACAATGAGAGATACCACACCCTGTCCCACTGGATGGCAAAGGCTCTTCACTAAATTGTGCTATGCAAGAAAATCATTTGTACATTTTCATTCACAACACCACTTTTCAGCCTCACCTCTTCCCATGCAGAAGAACTGGCAAGAGGCTGGACATTACTGCCTGGAGTATGGAGTGCCAAGGACTGAATCTGTCCTCCCACAAAGCAATTTCCTCTGCAAGAGAAAAATATCAGGCTGCTCAAACATCAGGCAGAGAAGGGAGAGAAAACAGAGGGAAAAATATCTGGAAGAATGCTGTGAAATAACATGAGCTACTAGTCAGAAGAAAGGAATTCAGCCAGATCGAACAAGGAGTTACTTCTAGGAGTGTCCCAAGGATCTAGTCTACAACTCACCCCAATCCAGGACTCTGTGGAGAAAAGGATGCCTGCAAGCAGAGCTCCCCACCCAGCTCGGCTGGCAGCTCTGTGCATTGGTGTAGTTGCAGTAAAGAACTGTAATAGGGCATTTGTGTGACATCCTCAGCAGTCAGAATGGAGGAAAAGCTCTGCTCGCTGCTGTCACTAGGACTATATTCCTGTATGCATGGAGGAGAAAAAACAAAACAAACACACAATCACTTTAATGTCCTTAAAATAAAATTACTCAGGTAACAGCTCTGACCATGTCACTTATTGCCCTTTTCAGCAAGATTCAGGAAAAATCCATGGTGTATCCAAAGGAACTACACAGTGGCAAACCCAGTGGTTCTGGATTGCAAACACAGATTTGATGGGAAGCAAGTGCACAAAAGAACCTCAATAGCTTGGTGATTCCCCTTATGCCTCCTCACTAAATAATGAAATTGTGAGGGCACAGATAGAAGTAACTTTATCAAATGCTTCTGGTGACATTTTAATTCTTGGACCCCATAGGATCAAGCTTTTGAAGCTTAAATGCTAAGCACTGTTTTTTAATGTCAATAACCTGTCAAAGCAGAAATGTTTTTCTGGAAAAAAAAAATAACAGCTTGATACTTCAGATCTGTCTGACTCTGCATCAATATCTCCTTACCTTTTCCAATGAGCTTTGAGAAGCAAAAGTAGCTGGAGCACTGCTGTGGAAGCCAGAAGATGTTGAGAGGTCCTCAGAAACTAGCAAGGCAAGAGGATCTTTATGAACAGCCTTGGGAGAGTGCTTAGGACTTCGTTTAATTGTCTTCACCATGAGAAACATTTGGTGCCACAATCTCAGAGCTTCTCTCAGACGGCACTGCTCCAAAGCCTGAGAGAAAGAACTAAGAGAGAAGGAGAAATTGAGATGGCAAAGTGTCGGAAAAGGAATACCACAGAGGGATGCTTCTTCAGACACAATGGAGAGGTAACAGGGCTTCTTCCAGAAGGATCAGGAAAACAAGTGAATAAAACCAAGGAGGGCAGGGCTCCAAGAATTGGCCCTTCTTCACTCACTCAGCTCTCCGGTGCTCGCAGAACCTCGTTTTCCACAGCAGAAATACCCTCTGGAGTTTCACCTTTTGGTAGAGGTCATTAAGAGAGTAGCCTGCCTTCTCAGGAAAGCATTCCGCAACAGTCCACCGTGGCTGAGCTTCATGTGTCTTTGTCGCAGCCTGGTCAGCTACTGACCTTATAGTTGGCCCTTAATGAGTCACAGAGAGTGACAAGAGACAACATTTGTCAAGGGGAATTCCTCAGAAATTCAACTCAGTCCAACCCCACAATAGATTCCTTTCAAAGTTTTAAAAGCTTTCTGCTAGGTTTATGAAAAAAGTTGCCTGTAACTTCACTGATTCATCCACAATGTTTGAACTTCTGCCTCCACTCCAGTTGATTAGTACTAAGTATATTACCTGAGCCTCTCTGTTCACACGATTTTCAATTCATCATACAAGAGAAGAAGGAGGCAAGAAGCTTAAGCACCTCCAGATCTTATATTCTGCTCAGATCCTGAACTGCTCACCATAATACTGGCTCCACCTCAGGATGAAGAGGTTCACTATCGTCCGCTTATTGTTCTTCCTGACCTGCAGCATCCGAACCCACTGCTGAAAGTACTTCCTCAGCAAGCCTGCTCTGTGTTGGGCCAGGTTACACCTGTTATGTGCCTTCTGCTTAACAGACTCCTTCCATGCATTAAAGCACCTGAGGGAATAAATAAATAAATAAATATGCTATATCACTAATTTTCTTTAAGGCTTTGGTTTTTGAATACGTTAAATCAATTTTCTACTGCAATTAATTTGACACATGTCAATTAAGAGATCTTTCTACCTAAAAGCAACACGACCATGTTTCAGTTCAGTTTGTAATCAAAAAACTCGTACTTCCCAAATTCCAAAAATTCTCATGGGTCTATGCATTTCATCTTTATTAATCCCTGACACAGAAGAAAAGGGTGTCTTTAAGAGCGAGTGATGCATCACTGTGAGCTGCCTCTATCATTCATTCCTAGGGCTTGCATAGCAAACAGACTCTTCACAGTAAAAATATGCCTTACCAGCTTACCGAAAAACCAAATTTCTTTGAATCCAAGTTGTAAATGTTAAAATCTTTTCTATTTCCAAGCACCGAGAACGCCACATCTGGAAAGTGTTTCGTAGCAGCTTTTTTTTCAGGAGGGCTTGGGCTTCCTCCAATCTGGCTTCCTCTTTGCTCAGCACCTCCTTCTGCAGGCGCCACAATCTGAAAGCTGCTGTGTTACAGGGCATGAAGAGATTCACAAGAAGAGAAATAATTTAGAAGAACTTTGAACAGCTTAGCGTCACACAGAAAACACCCTTGGCTGAACTCCAAATATCAGAAAATGGGCTTTTAAGGGAGATAGCTCTCACTACTGGAGCAACGGCACCTGCTGCAGCTGAATTCTTAAAGGGAGTAAGACAAGTGTATTACACAGAAGGTAAGCCGCCCTCCATCAGCATAGATACTGCCCAGCACTTCGAAGGATCAGGTTCTGAAAGAACAAAAACTAGGCACTAACCAAGAATTATGGTGAAAAAGCAATTCCCATCAAGCTGCTCCAAGGCTGCAGGGCATGTGCTTACCAGCTAGCCGTCTCATATCCCTGATAGCTTGAGCTCTCCAGCAGAACTCATCTCCTCTTTGTCTGCGATGCAGTCGTGTCCACAGTTCTCTCTCCACCCTGAAAGAGTCAGGTGCTTTAACCTCCACCTGCCTGAGCAGCACCCACAGACCAGAATCCAGAACCACCACCTCCACAGTTCTTGTTCTTCTGCTTTCAGAACCACAGGAATTAAATCATCTTTTCTTTTGACACATCCACTGTCCTGCTAAAACTGTAGCAGTGCCTCATTCCAATTTCATTTACACTTGTTTCCCATATAAGTCACAGATGAATTCAAGAAACAGTACAGGAGAATTTCTGTCACTCAAATCAGACAGAAAATAGTAATGCACAGAAACTCTGAAATAGGACCGTTCAGTTACTAAATCTCGCAGTGGTTATCTGTAGCAATATATATTCTCTCAAAGAAAATGAAAAAGTAAAAAGCTCTCAGCTTACCTACAAGCCTGCTCAGCTTCCTTCAAGCATCCTGCAGTAAACTGCTGCTGAGCTGCAGTTGAGGTTGTCATGGTTGCTAATCTTCCTACTCCAGAAAAATCCACTGATAAACTTTGAGCATAAGAATATGGCTCAGGTTGCAGAGTTTGCTCCTTGCTCTGTTTTGCCAGAGCTTCCTTCCACTGAAGAAGGAACCACAGTTAGAACAGACTGCAGGAAAACACTAGCACAAAGGTCCACATCACTGATTTTCACACAGGTTACTCCTCCTTCCTCCCTACCCCAACATCTTTGCCTTCTTCAACTGCACAGCAGAACAGTGATGACATCTCTCCTAATGTCCCCAGCCCATCCTCACCCTGCGGAAGGTGACAGCCAGCAGAGCTGAGGTGTGTTTTCGCTGGGCTATCTCCAGCTGCATCCTCCTCAGGTGCACAGCCCACTGCAAAGCACCAAGGCCCTTCCTAAGTAGTTGCTGTCTGTGAAGCTGCCTGGCTGCAGCTCTTTTGCAGAAGACGTGGCTTTTCCAAGCTTGGAAACACCTAGTTAGTGCTTGTCTATCACACGAGTTCTGGAAACTTAAAGAGAAAAAGACAGGATTGAGCTCCAGTAACAGCAAGTAAAGCTAAACTTAGCCAGGAGGTGGCAACCAGAGTCCAGCCATCAAGCTGCAAAGAATTACTTCAAACTGTTCTCTCTCAAGACTGAAGGGCCTTAAGCCTCACACCAAATTAAGGCCTCTCTGTTGCTAAATTGGTAGCAATCTCATGTCTTTTCCACAGGTCATGTTTTTGAATCCCATCTCATGTATAAGCCCTGTTCTTGTTCTTCACTGACCATGCAACCAAAAAGCTGGAAACCACTGCACTGAAAAGCAGCATTTATGGTACCAGTGATACCTTTCCTTTGCTAGTAACACTCAAAGTTGAATTTGGAAAGTAAATATAAATGATATAGAAACTACTTTTGGGAGCATGCTCCATTTTTTGCGGCAACCCATGAAAAACAAAGGGAGGATGCTCATGAGCCAACCATTATACAATAATATAGACGAACTCCTAGAACCAAATGTCCCCCAAAAACTTGGCTCCTTAACCCTTAAAAAACTTTCCCCCCTCTGACACTATCTGCACATAAATGCATAGATTTATTTTACCTTTGCTCATTCCCCTTCACAGACCAGAAGCTGCTCTCCAAGATCTGCAGAGAGAAGACAGTAACACACACAACTATTCACAATGCTCCGATAAAGGATCTGTCTGTGCCCAGCATGGCAAATCATTCTGGCCTCAGGTTGGACATTGCGTTAGGTACCTGGACTCTGTCTCCCCCTTCACCTCCCACCTTCTTGCTCTGGGAATCATCTTACACACTTCAGACATGGAAAAGCACAAACAGGAATCTCACAGCCCTGCAACAATTCACAGATAAAATTAGTTTAATGTTTCCCTTATGCACATAGGTCTTGGGAATGTAAATGCCTAGTGAACATGCTAATGCTAGTCTTTGAGAAGCAGCATGTGAGAAAAAAAAAAATGCATTGGAGAAGGGATTCTGACCATTCAGTGGCAGGAAACTATAGAGCAAGCAGCCCCATTACTGCTGTACCTCAACTCTGCACCTCTAGTAAGACGTGGACACTGGCACAAAGAGGAGCTGCAAAGGGGGATGCTGCGCAGTGAGCACACCCTCACCTCGCTGGACACAGTTTCCTGTGTCTGGCTGCTTTCTTCACAACACTGTGGTTTGCTGGCACTCCTCTCCATAGAAGGCCCTCCAGACTGGTCCATATCGGTGTCAGGTTCCCAGTTCCTCATGCTATGCTGGCGGGAGGGTTTGTTTCTCCCTCCTTCTCTGCTCAAATTCACACTATCTATGTCAGAAAATTCACCAAAGACCGTTTCAACCTGAATGCTGAAAGGGCTGGGTTTGCTGCTGTCCACCACAGCCATTCTTCTGGCTGCTTGCAATTTAGAGTCACACACCTCTTCCGACTCTTTGCTGGACTCACCAGGAGGTTCAGAGGTGCTGACTTCTACAGATTTAATACTAAGCTGCTGGATTGACCCAAACTCTCTATCTCCAGAAGGAGAAGCGACTCTCATGTGCATTTCTCTTGGTGACCCATGCATGGCTACATCAACATTCATCTGAGCACCCTTAAACTGCGTCTCCAGTGACACCTGCAGACCTTCTGGATATAGGCTGGATAGAAAGCTTTTTTTCCAAGATACAGCATGTAGGGGTGCCCCATCAAAATTATTTTCTCCTTTAAATATCTTTTCAGAAGAATGATTTTTTTTGTGAACATCAAGACCTCCTGTTTCCAGAGCTGGCTTTGCCTGGGACTGGTATTTGAAACAAGGGGAGCAATTATAGGAAGAACCTGCTTCTGCATCCACCAGCCAGCCAGAGCCCACCGCAGCAGAGAGAGTTTCTCGCTGGATGTTGCCTGAAAGTTTGGTTTTCCATGTGTGTGAGTCAGTATGTCCGTATCTGTGAGAGACAGAGGCAGGTTCAGCACAACAAAAGTCCCTTGGCACTGCACTGAGGCTCCAGTCTTTAGCAAATGAGACACCCCATTTCAGTCTTGCCTGAGCAGCATGAGTACTTACTCTAGCTAGCTGCTCTGCTGTGCTCAGGATACCAGGAGCTGAATCATCAGGAGCAAAGCCTGCCAGACTGCCATTCACTGGAGAAGATGAGGGCTCCAAGGGGACAGAGCCCCATATCCCCATCCAAACAGTTTCTTGTTTAAGCCTCTGGATTGAACAGTGCAAGCTGGCAGAAGTCTGTGAGGACTCCAAAAGAGACTGAAGGGAGGCAGAGTTATGAACAGACTCTGCCAGACTAGATGGCCTGAGATCTCCCAAGGAAAGGGCTGAGGCACAACAAAAAGAGTTCACGCTTTCCCTGGAGCACCTTAAAGAGAGATGCTCCGCTGACTTGTTCCCAAGAAGGGGATCTACAGCATGAGATGGTAAACGTGAAGGGTTTCCATGAGCCATGCCAGAAGCAGCAAAAGACCAGCACTGTTGTCTTTCCACTGGATATTCATTGTTTTTGTTCCTTCTTTCTGAAAAACGGCAATTAGAACATACGGAGCAGCA